CAAATGCCAATTTGCCAGTTCTAGAGCTATATGGCAAGCTCTCTCCACGACCCCAAAACTGGACCCCTTAGGGGGCCATCAAAGGGCGATAGCGGTGCAACAATGCGAGGGTGTGGGGGGAGAGGGAAAGTTTAGTAAGCATCGACAGGCCTTCCTGTATGTATTGCCGGGCGGCAAACGAAGATCCCCACCTGCCTCGCAAGAGGGACCGTTCCATCAGTCCATGAACCCGAAAATCTTCCGTAGCGCCTCCTCTGCGCAAGCTGTAAGGTCTGAAGGTGTCCTTAAGTTTGAAGAATGCGGTGAGACGTTTAAAAGCCGATCGAAATTCGGAGCGAGAGCGAGGCCAAACAAGGTCCTGCTTTGAAGGGGCAAGATCACACGCAGTTCGGGCAATAAGAACAGTAGGCAGGTGATAAATCACCACATTCTCATCGACGCTTACGCCGCTCTCTTTCCAGCTGCTCAGGCCCGGCTCGCCTCGTCCGTCGGGTTCTCTGCCGAGTCGACATGGGCCAGGTTTAGGATACAATGTGCTGCTAAAAGAAGGGCATTGATTTTGTTTACAATAAAATGGAGCTTGCGGCTAGCCGTCCTGCCCTTCGACAGGATTGAAATGCTAACATAAGAATCGGAGAGGTGAAAAACCCGACGGTTGCAAATGCTCCTCTGCAAAGTTTTCCACAACAAAGAAAGGTAAATGGCGCGCACCTCCAATGCGTTTATTTGTTCAGCTTGTCTCCACCTGGTTTTAAACACTTGCTGCCAGGTCCACCAATATGCTTGAGCCGATTGATGAGGGAAAACCTTTGGGTTCAAAATTTGCCCTGAAGTGATTCTGACATCGCTTCCAGTATGGCGGACCCTCGCCAGCAAATGTTGGTTAATATGTAGAACGTCTGCGTCTGCCGGAAGGTCAGGGATTTCGCATCCAATCTGAAGAGGACAGCGGAGCCCAAGCCGGAGCCCCAGCCCTGGCGGAAGCCCCATTCGGGAAAACAAATGGTCGGGGTCGAAGCATCCCGTCAACTTAGCCACCCCAGCGGCGGCCACGAGACAAAAGGACCAGATTGAAAAAGAATCACCTACTTCACTGCACCTCTCATCCTCAAACTCCTGCTCGTGTCCCTTCTGCTTTGATGCTGCCATGCAGGCTTTTGTGTGTCCTGCCCCGTATCCCATCAAAATCTCACGCTCACCGGCGGAAAGGAGTCGTCCATTGCCTGTCGCTTTGGAGAAAAGGAGGTACTGATACTTGTACTGATAAGGCGGGAACCTAAATGAATCAAGTTCCCACCTAGCACGCGTGAGTTCATCAGTTCGTGAGAGGCCCGCAGGCTGCGGCGGGGGCCTCCCCCTTGGGATTGCTTTCATAAACGTGGGGTATATGACCTTTGGCTCGGACTGCTCCCACTCAGGGCTGAGCCATTGGCTAGGCTCAGGCCAGGTCCCAGCAACTGAGACCATCTTGTACCCATTGCAATCAGTAATCTCCAGGCCACAGAAGTCTTCCAACCATAGGGAGGTCCAACAGAACCGTGGCCGACTGTTTGGAACTTGAGCACTGGGATCAAGCTTGTAAGGGATCACGCCTACCAGGGAACTGATCTGGTCTCTGGCCTCCACGTCCATGCTAGCCACATTTTCATAGAAAAATTCAAAGCCACAGCGTGGGAACAGAGCTCGGCAATCCTCAAATACCCTCAAGGCCTCAAAAATGAGACCACTTGAGGCACCAGCTAGGTTCCGTCGGTTAGCCCTAACGCTGCTTAGGTCCACACAGGGAACCCTGCCCAGCCATGAATTTCTGAAAAGTCTCCTACTCCACCTAACAAGTCCGACAGGGCCTCTTT